TGAGCGGCCGACTTCGGCTCAGGTCACGATCTCACGGTCCGTGAGTTCGAGCCCCGCGTCGGGCTCTGTGCTGACAGCTCGGAGCCTGGAGCCTGTTTCGGATTCTGTGTCTCCCTCTCTCTGACCCTCCTCCGTTCATGCTCTGTCTCAAAAATAAATAAAGGTTAAAAAATTTAAAAAATATATATAATATTACTTCAACAGATTAAAACTTTAAGAGACGTAATTTTAAGAAACAGCTGACATAAAAGGATTGGAAAGCTACATTAGTATTTTAAAGGGCTTTATTATAATAATTAAACTTAACTTTAGCCAAGTGAAATTCTAGGTGTGGTTTTCTGCTTAGCTTTCTGCCTAGCTTCAAAAATGAGCTTGTTCCACTTAACTCTTAATTAATTCTTTATAAGTAGCTTACAACTAATGGGTTCTTCCACTGAAGCATTTTATTAAAGGAAGTAAAGATAATTTAGTAAACAGATGGCTAGTGGTGGTATTATATATACATCTTTTCCTTAATTTTCTGTATTGATAGGGGTTAGAAGTTGACTACATTTACAAGGGCTTAAGACATTCAAGGATGGAAGAAAGAGATGTTCTTGGTACCTTTTCTTGAGGCCTTTGAGTATTTAGTAAGTTCTAAACTTAGACTGGCTTTCAAATTTTGATTAGACAGTGTGGCCAGGGACTTAAATAAGACTGGTTGATAAATGGCTCATATGTCTAGTATTTATATAAGATAATACTTAAGATCTGTAGCTTTAATACTTAAGGTTTGTGACTGTATAGTTCATGAGATTTTATGATAAATACCTGCCTTTTAGATTATTGATAAAAGCAAGAGAGACCCAACAGAAGAAATTGAAATACTTCTTCGTTATGGACAGCATCCAAACATCATTACTCTAAAGGATGTAAGTAGTAAATTCTTTAACTCCGATCATTTGAATCAGTTGTCTAACTCGCTCTGGGAATGTTTTCAAATATCATGTGGTGGACAAAGAACTCAATATCGTAAGTTTTAAAAAAATTGTCTGGAGTACAACATATGTAGCATAATTTCAGCTATAAAGAAAAATATGTTTATGTAGTTAATTTTTGTATTTTTGCTTTAAGAAGAAAAATGTTACTGACATTATTGCTTTTAATACCTATATTTACTGGAACATGTGGGTATTAATTAGTATTAGGGATTAACTAGTCTCAGACTCTATGGATTCCCCAAACTCTCTTCCACAGTACTGCCTGAGAAAGCAAACACTCAGATATGTTACTTGCCTACCTACATCTCATACCCCCACTCACCTCCAGTCCTTGCCTTCCTCTGTCTGCAGTAGTTTTCACACTTCCTCTCATACCCCATGCTCTAACCATGCTCTAGTATGTACACATCTTTCAGCTTTCCTCCTTTTCTCATGCTGCTCTGTCTGAATTTATGATTTCCTCAATGAACAGTACCACTTCCCTTCTTTGCCTGGCTAACCACCGTTCCTCTAAAACTTTGCTAAAACATTACTTCCTCCAGGAGGTCTGTTCTTCGGATCGCCACACCCTAGACAAGTGAGGTATCCTTTCCTTTCTGCCTGTGGTTTTATCATACCAGAGCTGTTGGTGAAGGGTGTGAACTCCCCAGGCAGCATTAAACCTTCTCTTGCTGATGGTGCTCACATAGGCTCAAAGGCCATATCTGGGTGTCATAGACCTGATATGTCACATGGCCAACTAAGCCAGAGAATTTCTAAGGTACCTTTTGCCTTTCAGCTCTGAGATTTTGTGAATTCCAAAGTTTACTCTTCCTTTTTCCCAACCAAAACTCCAGTTTCCTGAGATTAATTTATCACTGCTCATTGTTAGAAGAAGAATGTTAACTTAGTCCCATTAAAATGTGAAGCTGCATATCTTAAGTGACTCTTTAATTACTATAACCTCCAAGAATCTGACCAACTAAATAAAAAAGGAAATACAGAAAATTCTTTCTTCCTTGACTTGGAAACTCCCTAAGCTGTTACTGGTTTTTACATCTTTCCTCCTTCTTTGATTTCAAATTCCAAGGTCTCTAAAATTTTCCCTGCTTTTATCACAGCATCTCCAACATTTTTTTTAACTTATTTCTATGTCTGTTTCTCCCTACTAGAATAAAAACATTGAGGACAGGTACCTTGTTTTCTACATATTTGGGGCCCCAGCACCCACTACCTCTTACGGAGCTAAATAAAGGTGTGCAGTAACCCGGTGGTGATGGGGAATAAAAGAAACTGAAGCTTAATAAAGAGGCTATCTCAGTTTGGGATTGCCTGAAGTACAAATCCAAAATTACAATGAGCTTTCTATTTCTGCATTGGGAGGAAACTTGTATGCTTCTGTGTGGTTAGATGGAATATCTTTCTGCTACTTGATCTTCCTACTTAATTTGTGCCACAGCTTGTATTTCAGTTTAATCAAAACCAGAATTGATTCGTTGTACTGTTTATGTAAATATAGAAGTTCTGCAGTTGCAGAAGTTCCAGGAAAATCATAGTCCCCACTGTCATCGATAGAAAGATCAAGAGAAACAAACCTGAGAGCAACAGTTCAGTACCCCTTCATATACGATGCCCATCGTTACTTTGATTGCCATGACTTAGGTTTCACAGAAGGAAGTTGCAGATTATTTTTCTGACATTCAATCTAATCAATTCCTGTTTTAATATTCTTGCATGTATAAAATGGCTTGCAAATTTTATATCCTCCATCAGTTGTGATAAATAAAAATTTCCTTGACTATAGACTTTGTTCTCAGCACATGTAAAGCCTCAAATAATTTTTGACATTTTGGTGTTAAATCTTACAGGTATATGATGATGGAAAATACGTGTATGTAGTGACAGAACTTATGAAAGGGGGTGAATTGCTGGATAAAATTCTTAGACAGAAATTTTTCTCCGAAAGAGAGGCCAGTGCTGTCCTCTTTACTATAACCAAAACTGTTGAATATCTTCACGCACAAGGGGTAAGTCTTTTTAACATTTTATATATACAAATACACACATGCACACACATACATACATATATATACATACACACACACACTTTCACCTTTTCTTTTTTTTTTACCTATTCTTTCTGAATGTTTGAACTGAAATTACAAAGGTAGAAGTTACTTTATGCATTAATGGAAAATACTATTAGCTTAATTATTTGCTGTTTTTCATTTACTAAAATTTCTCCCACCAAGGTTGAAGTGCTACTTTGAAATCCTGACTTGTTTATATTAAGTTCTTATACTTCCCAACAAAAAGTGAGTGAGGTCTTCTGACCAGGAAGACGTATCACCATTTTTGCTAGGCCACTCTGTGCTCTTGAGAATTAGATCCATTGCAAGTTTAGAAGCACAACCATAGAATCATGGGTTGTATTCACTTATAAAAAGAAATTAAGAGGGGCACCTTGGTGACTTAGTTGTTTGAGCGTCCGACTTCGGATCATGTCATGATCTCCTGGTTTGTGAGTTTGAGCCCCACATTGGGCCCGCGGCTATCAGTGCAGGGCCCACTTCGGATCTTCTCTCCACATGTCTCTCTCTGCCCCTCCCCCGCTCGCACTTTCCCTCAAAAATAAATAAACATTAAAAAATAAATAAATACGTGGGGCGCCTGGGTGGCTCAGTCGGTTGAGCATCCGACTTCGGCTCCGGTCATGATCTCACAGTTCGTGAGTTCGAGCCACGCGTCGGGCTCTGTGCTGACAGCCCAGAGCCTGGAGCCTGCTTCAGATTCTGTGTCCCCTCTCTCTCCGCCCCACCCCTGCTTGTGCTCTGCCTCTCTGTCTTTCAAAAATGAGTAAACATAAAAAAAAATTTTTTAAATAAATACAAGGAAATTAAGAGACTACTTCTTAAGGAGTTTATTTTCAATATGTTATTCTCATTTTGTTTGTCTTTGCTCCTAGAAGCTAACAAGTGGGAAGTGTCACTTTCATTCTAGAGCTTCTTGATTTCTAGCTGGTCAAGATTTGCCTAGTATACTAGCTAAGAATTAGTGGGACTCCATAGTCACTGGAGAATTGATGACTTTGCAGTCATCTAAGTCTTCTATATTCTTTTCCATTGCTTCAGCAGTAATTAGTTACTCAGATGATCTGGAGAAGTAATGTTCTCAATGTTAGAAACTAAAACTGAGGTGATTGATTAGAATCTAGACTCAGAATTTAGTGGTAGAAGAAACATAGAAGTCTAATAAGGAATGTCAAGGTTTATGTGAAAGGTTTATGTTACCCTTTAGGTAACTAAAGGGGGAGAAATATTACAAAAATCTAAAGGAACAATATCTTTTAGTATGTGTGACGTTGTCACTTGGATATTAAATAGGCAGTACTTAAAGTCTGGATTTTTTTTTCCTTTTTACCCCTAAACCCAGTGCCTGTTCCATTGAGCCTGTCAGCACTTGTTTGTTGTATACATCCATTATACATGCTGTTCCCTCTCCTTAGAATGACTGTCCCCCACTGTTCCAGCTTGTTTGGACCAGATGTTACCTCCTCTAGAGACGCATCTCTCACCTGTTTATTCTCTGCCTTCCTCACTACCGTGCAAGCTCCTAGCATGGAAAGGCAAGGATCTTACAGGTCTTGTTTAATATGGTATCTGGAGCTTCTTATATAATACCCTGGCACATGATAGGCATTCAATAAATATTTGTTGAATAAATGAATAACCTAGGGGCAGATATTACTGCTATTTGCATTTTACCTTAACCTAACCTACGTACTCAATGGACAAAGAGGAGGGAAGTACATACTATTTTTTCTTCCTTCTTTCCTTGCCCTGGTTCTGTATTAGAGAGTTATGCTTACATTATCAGCCTTTTATAATGTTGAGATCATTTGAAGTTCAGCACTCACATCCTCTTGTTAAGTACATTGCTTGACAGTTTGTGAATAAAGAATTTTCCATCATGGAAATGTGTTGTTGTATTGTTAATGTACCTCTTTAATTTGTATTTCAATTAGGTGGTTCACAGAGACTTGAAACCTAGCAACATTCTTTACGTGGATGAATCTGGCAATCCAGAATCTATTCGAATTTGTGATTTTGGCTTTGCCAAACAGCTAAGAGCAGAAAACGGTCTTCTCATGACTCCTTGTTATACTGCAAATTTTGTTGCACCAGAGGTAATTGTGAAATTATTTGCTTCCAGTATTTCAGTATATTTAAAAACTCATTTGCTGTGTTTAATATGGAGTAGTTAATAGTTGTTTAATTGAAGACTTACTGAACAAATAATTAAAATAAAATGTCAGCTCTTTTTCTTCTGATGGTAGTTCATCCTGTCCTCAGTCCCCTACTACTTAGTCCTTTTCTTGCCCTAACTTCTGTCTTTCTACATAATCACTCATCTGTAGTGGTCCACTGTCACTAACACTTTTGTGCTTGTCAGCGCATGGAATTAAATGGAAAGTAGCTTATTCTCATCCTTTCCTAATATCCTTTTTAATTTACTGGTTTTGACACCATCTTCCTGTATTTCTGAGGCTAAAACATCATGGTCTCTTCTTGTCTTTAGCTACATAACTAGGTATCATCTCTGTTATCCTCAAAAACCAGTTTGAGGTTCTTCTGTTCACAAAACTGCCATCCTAGGCCCTGCTTCCTTCACCACACTCCAAATGACTGCCATGGCCTAATTTCACCTTGCTCCCTTTCTCGATCTCTGATCATTCCACAGAAGAGCTGCAGCGTTACTGAAGTCTTTTTCAAGCCCTACTTTGATCAAGTTGCTTCTTTTCCTAAGAAATTTCTGTTCCCCATTGTAGCAAATCTAAAATCCACTGCTTTGCCCTCAAGATTTATTGTCTTTTTATTATCATTGTGTAAAAACACATAACTATGAACTAGATAAGAAAAAATAATAGTTAACCAAGGCACCTGGGTAGCTCACTTGGTTAAGCCTCTGACTCTTGGTTTCAGCTCAGGTCGTGATCTCACGGTTCTTGGGTTCAAGCCCCACATTGGCCTCCATGCTGATAGCGTGGAGTCTGCTTGAGATTCTCTCTCTTCCGCTCTCTATGCCCCTCCCCCACTCATGCTCTCTCTGTCTCTCTCAAAACAAATAAATAAAGTTAAAAAAAGATAGTCAACCCTAACATAGGGGTTATGTGCCAGTCACATGTATTAACTGATTTCATCCTCACAACATAGGGTTTACATGTAATAATTCCTTCTAATTATAACTTTATGAAGTAAGTACTTTCACTCAATTCTTATAGGAAACCAGGTGCACAGTGAAAGGTTACATAATTTGTTTGAGGTCAGGTCGAGATTTGAGCCCCAGCAATATGGCTGCAAAGTCTGTGCATTTACCATTATATATTTCACAAAAAATGATAATAGTTGGTAGTGTTAGAATGGTTGCATTATATTTACCAAACTTTTTGTAATTTTCTTACTTTGAGTTATAAAATAATACTTTTAAAAAGACTCCTTGCACCTGTTCTGGTGGTACTAGAGCTAATGAGGGACAGACTCTCTGCTTGTTTGTCCACATACCCACAGCATCTGACACATATCCAAGCATAGTCACTTCATCTAGCCATCTCATTTTTCCCCATCAGTGTTTTCTGCTTCAGACAATCAATCTGCTTCTTAAAATCACCATGTAGCTGTTTTGCCTTGGCACATTGGATGTTTTTTGTTTCAAAGCCTCTGAATTCATCTTTTTCAGGAAATCTTCCATAATTAAACTCTCTTTAGACTTGAGCTTTTAACTCTTTGTCTCCTACTCACCACTTAGTCATCCAGGTTAAAACTTGGAAGCCCTCCTAAAATCCTCCTTCCCCATCATTTGTCTACATCCAGTGGGTCACCAAACCCTTTCCAATTTGATTCCTAAATATTTTAGATCTCTTATCCTTTACCCTGTACATCTCATCTGAACTAAGTTGTTCCTCTTTTATCTTTACATCTCTTTCTATCCATGTCCTGCCTTGGTGTGGTTCCTCACAGCCTTTCACTTGGTTTGATACAAATTGTTTCCTGTCATTTGGCCTTTTTTCCACTCTGTCTTCTTACCAGCATTTCCTTTATACCTTGAGTTATCCTTTTGGTGTACACATCTACTTATTTTATTTCCCTGTTTAATGCTTCAGTGACAACTGATTGCCTACAGGAAAAATATTTTAATTCCTTAACAAGATACATGTAAAAGCCTTTCATTCTCTCCAGTGTACCCTACCTAGAGATCTGGCCAGACTGAATCCTTGCCTCTCCTTAAGCATGCTCTGCTCGCTTGCCTCTGCCCTTTGAGTGTCTCGGTCCTCCCCAACCTCCTCCCTTTGCCTCCTGAATTCTTACTTATAGGCCCAGTACAAGCAGGCTGCCCTCTAGCCTTCCTTCTCTCCACATTTCAAGAATGAATTTTTTCCTCATCTTTATACTCAGACCACTTTAAATATAATTTTGTTATAATACCACGTTGTCAAAGTGCAACTCTTGATTCCGGCTCAGGTGGTGATTTTTCAGTCATGAGATCAAGCCCCGCATTGGGCCCAATGCTGAGCGTGGAGCCTCTTGGGATTCTCTATTCCTCTCTCTCTCTGCCCCTCCCCTGCTTGCTCTCTCTCTCTCAAAATAAATAAACATTAAAAAAAATCAGCCAAAAAAATACTTACCACATTGGATTATTAACTTTATTTATTTATTTATTTATTTCCCCTCCATATTCTGATTTTCTTAAGGAAACCAGAGTGTTTTGTGTTTATCACTGTTCATTCCTAGGAATAGTTGGTGACTACTAAATGCTCAAGTGAATCATTTTATATATGTAGAAGTATAATTTTGCACTCTATCATTTGTACTTTCATATGTGTTCTTAAAAGTATGGTTTTATGTAACCAGTTTTGCAGCCTTATACAAACTAAATATATATTCATTTAAATAAGAAACTTAGAGGGGAGTGGGGATGGGAAGGAAAGAAACTTAGCTTCAATTTATTTTATAGTTCTCTCTATGCTACAGCAGCACTCAATAAATGCTAATTCAAATACCAAAATGAAATTTTACATATATATGAAATATTAGTCATAGAATGTTTTGGAATAGGGCTAATATATTATTGCCTTGTTTGCTAATCATGTTCTGTTGAGGTTTTTCTTAAGTACACTGATTTAGAAGATACAGTGTAGTTCATGGCCTATTCACATCTCTAAAGTAAACAGTGGTGTATTAATACTAATTGTTATTTTTTCTAGGTTTTAAAACGACAAGGCTATGATGCTGCTTGTGATATATGGAGTCTTGGTGTCCTCCTCTATACAATGCTTACTGGGTGAGTGGACCATATTTTGCAAGCATTTATTCATCAATATTTTCTTCAAATTATCTAGTTTTATTTCTTTCATTTCTGTGTTATAATATTCTTCTTTTCATGTTTTCTTCTATTTCCTAATAATACAATCCTGTATGTGTGTGTGGATTTGTAAATATATATTTATAACTGTATCATTGATGATTTTCTATAATGTACCATTTACTAATGTCTTAAGGTCTTACCTTGACTTTTTTCCATGCCTTTTTTGTATTCTTATGTCATAAATATATACTACTTTAAATATTTTATTCTTATATGTCATATCTTAAAATATTTATTTTATAATATATTAAGTCTAATTAATAGTTCATAGCTTATACCTTGAACTAGTGCTTTATGAAGCTTTATGATGTTGATGTTTTTCACTTTTGGAGATTTCAGTGAAGTATTACATTAAATTACTCAGAGTACTCTTGGATACTGCAAAGAAATGTGAAGATTACCAACCAAAAAGAAATTTTATTCATTAACATTTTAATTTTATTATAAAATAGTTACACTCCATTTGCAAATGGCCCTGATGATACACCAGAGGAAATATTGGCACGGATAGGCAGCGGGAAATTCTCACTCAGTGGTGGTTACTGGAATTCTGTTTCAGACACAGCAAAGGCAAGTATAGCTTCCTGTAATAAACTTTTGAGAAAATAATTTTTCATAATCCCTAGTGAGAAAAAATAATGCCAGTTAAAAACTTTTGTTTATGAAGTAGTATTTTGAAGTGATGTTACCAAATAACTTGAACTCACAAATGGACCAATTAATTTGTTTCCCAGAGGTATTGGTTTGGCTTTGTTATTATCTATATATCTAAAACTACTTCTTACTTACAAACATAATGAATAATAATGGTGGTTGTCTTCATGATTTGTGTGTCTATTCTGTGCCTCACACTGCACTTCTCCTAAATTATCCCATTTAATCTTCTTAACAAACCCTGTAAAATAGGCGTTAGTATCTCCATTTCACAGAAGGAAACCAAGGCCCAGAATTTTGGTGTGAATTTGTTTTTGGTTACCCACCAGCTACATGTGGGTGCTTCAAATTAAACAGTTGATTCCAAAGCCATTGTTCCCTAGAATAGACTATACCATGTTCTCTTTTTGGTCCATATTATGTAGAAAGGGGTCTCCTCTTCTTCACAGTAAACAGTAGTATAGTTTTATAGTATCTGTTTGAAATACACTTGAAAAGCCTTTGTCCCTGAAAGATCTGCCATCCTCTGGCTGACTTGCTTTCCAATTCTGCTCTACTTCCACTTTACTCGTAGAAAATGCTCTTTTAAAAAGAAGAACAAAAAATTTGGGGCGCCTGGGTGGCGCAGTCGGTTAAGCGTCCGACTTCAGCCAGGTCACGATCTCACGGTCCGTGAGTTCGAGCCCCGCGTCAGGCTCTGGGCTGATGGCTCAGAGCCTGGAGCCTGTTTCCGATTCTGTGTCTCCCTCTCTCTCTGACCCTCCCCCGTTCATGCTCTGTCTCTCTCTGTCCCAAAAATAAAATAAACGTTGAAAAAAAAAATTAAAAAAAAAAAAAGAAGAACAAAAAATTTAAAAACTAAAAAGAAAAAGAGGGGCGCCTGAGTGGCTCAGTCAGTTAGGCTTCCAACATCAGCTCAGGTCATGATCTCAAGGTCCGTGAGTTAGAGCCCTACGTCGGGCTCTGTGCTGACAGCTCAGAGCCTGGAGCCTGCCTCAGATTTTGTGTCTCCTTCCCTCTCTCTGCCCCTCCCCAACCTGTGCTCTGTCTCTCTCTCTCAAAAATAAATAAACATTTTAAAAAACCTAAAAAAAAGAAGAGCAGAGTTTTCCACTTCCAAGGAAGAAAAACATAGAGGAGATAAAGAAGATAATTACTGGTAAAAGTGCTTGCTGGTTTCTCTTAGAGGTGGAAGCCTGAGGTGAGATGATTGTGTAAGTAAATAGGGCATGTAACAAATGTCGACTGATACTTTTGGCCTAGAGATGAAGCCTATGTTAGCCAATTTAAAGTCTATATAGATAACATTTGGCTTTATAACTGATTTAAAATGACCTGGTATCCTTTTCCTTTTATTAGCCATAACATTTCTTAAACCAGATGATTCATTTTTCTGGGATTTCTTTTTCTTCCATGTATTGAGCACCTACAACCTACTTAATAAGTGAAAGTCCAGGGATAAAAGATGTGACTGAGATAGAATTCCTGATCTCAGGAATCTCACAGTCTAGTTGGGAGATGGCCCCAAGTATACAGTACAGTGTCACGTGTGCTGTTACAGTGGTACATTTTTTTATGTTGAAGAAGTGCACAGATGGTGCTCAGTCAGAAAGATTTCCAGGAAAGCTTTCCAGAAGCAGTGAAGGGACTTTCTTGGCAGCTTTAGGGAGCAGAAGGATGTATTCCATCCCAGGCTGAGAGAGCAGCACATGCTATTTGTGGTCACGACAGCCTGAGCATGGCAGAACGCCTCCAGGTTGCTGTGCACGGTTTGATGGGACTAGTACAGGGTACACGTGAGAAGGTAGCTGATGAACCCAGATTATGAAAGGCTTTGTAGATTATGCTCAGGATTTGGGGTCTATTCTAGGTATTGGAGAAGTGTTGAAAAATCTTAAGCATTTTCATGATCACATTTTCTTTTTTTAAAATGTTTATTATTGAGAGAGAGCGAGCAGGGGAGAGGCAGGGGGAAAGGGAGAGAGAGAATCCCAAGCAGGCTGTGCTGTCAGAACAGAGCCCAGCACAGGGCTCGATCTCACAAACCATGAGATCATGACCTGAGACAAAATCAAGACTGAGTCTTGATTCAACCGACTCAACCAACTGAGCCACCCAGGCGCCCTGAAAATTTTCCTTGTTTAAGTTTATTCTTTGGTGGGGTAATTCTTATCCATGGAGTCTACCACAAATTGCCATGATCAATTGTGAGGCATATCAAGTAATGTCACCATATGAAGTATCAGAGCTTACCCACTGCCTGCTTTTTAAATAAATTCTAGAGATAACCTCACCTTGCTCTAGTTTTGATAATTTCGTTCTCATTGACTTGCATGCCAGTATGCTGTTTTGGGCGAAAGAAAAAGAAAAGTGAGGATGAGATAAAAATGGGATCTAAGTCACAGCCTTTCTTATAAATGTTACATTATTACTAACAACTTTTGCTAATTTGCCCAGTTAAGACTTGAGTTTGTTGGGGCTCCTAAGCGGCTCAGTCACTTAAACGTCTGACTTCACTCATGTCATGATCTCATGATTGGTGAGTTTGAGCCCCATGTTGGGCTCTGTGCTGACAGCTCAGAGCCTGGGGCCTGCTTCAGATTCCGTGACTCCCTCTCTCTCTGCCCCTCCCCCGCTTGCGCTCTCCCTCTCTCTATCAAAAATAAATAAACATAAAAAAATTTTTTTTAAAAGACTTGAATTTGCAAGTATAATGTGATAATTGAATACCCACAATATTGGGAAGAAGGAGGGTTCTATCAATCTGATATGTCACCTCAAGAGTACATTGCACATGTGAATGTCATCAGTCATATGGGCCATATGTTTCATATGTGGCTTTGAGAAGAACAGGACCATTTACTGGGCATTTATGTGCCAAGAACTATGCTAGTACTTTTGCATACATTATTTCATTCATTCCTCACTGACCTAATATTAGGGACTTTACTTGTAAGGTTTTGCAGTAGTTCAGGTCATGAATGATGAAGACCTACACTAGAGCAGTTGTAGCAGGATTTGAGCCAAATGGAAGAGAAATTTAGCAGACAGAATAGATTCGGTGGTTAATTGGACATAAGAAGCAAGGGAGAAGCAGATAGCAAGCATGTAGTCCTTATTTCCACGTCAGGCAAACGAGCAGGGTAGTGGTGTCCCTTCACCAAGATGTGGAATGCAAAAGTAGTTTTGAGAGGAGTGATGACTACAGATTTGGAAATTAAGAATTTGAAATGTGACTGTGATATATAATTAAGAGATGTGTGTCCATCAAGCACCTGGCTATATGGATGTAGATTTTAGGAAGAAGTAGAGGTCTTAGGTGGACTGTGGAGTTGGAAGTTGTCATCATCTGGAGTAGCTACAGCCATGAGCACAAAGGAGCTTATCTGAGCAGAGTGATGAGAGCTATGGAAGGAATTCAAGGGAGCCACCACCATTTAATGAGAAAGCTTAGGAGGAATAGCCATTGAAGGGTAACAGAACAGGAGGAAGAGAAGTGGTTCTCAGTGACTTGGCCCAAGTGCACTGCTTAATGCACAGGTCTGATTAAAGTTATAGTAGAGTTTTGTTGTGTCCCTCAGCAGTTTTGCAATCTTTTATGTACTTGAACATTTTCGCACTTTAAGAATTTGGAAGGGGAGTTACTGGTTGTTTCACCTTTTATTTCTAATTCTGTTCAGTAACTTATTCCCGCTCTTAGCTGTTAATGAAAACTAAAAATAAGAAACTGGTAGTATCTAATAGCAGAGGAATCCTTAGAATAACATCTCGATTCCCAATATCCAGTCAGCCACCGGGTTCTGTTGTTTCTTCTAAGTACCTCAGTTCCATCCATATTTCTCCATTTCTTATACTGCCCTGAAGCCATCAACTCTCACCGGTCTCACATTGGAGTCTCCAGGCTTGTACCCTGCAATCCATTTTCGTTCACATTTAGTGAGCATAATCTCTCTAAAGTACAAACATGACTGTATTACTCCTTTGCTTTAAATGATTTCTTACCTCCGGAAAAAGTGCAACTTTGCTAATGTAGCTTACAAGGGCCTTCAGGGTCTGGTCCCTTCTCACCTTTATCACTTTATCTGCTGCCACGGTCTCCTTTGCAGATTTTGTTACAGCCACATTGCCGTTCCTTTCAGTTCCTTAACTGTGGCATGTTCTCCTATCCCTGAGGGCTCTCCTCTAAATACACTCGACTCTGCCTACTTGAATTGTTCTGTCCCCCCCCCCC